CGGACCTAACCAAGTTTTCTATTGGAAGCTTTTTGTCCGGTGTCCTCGGTACAAATTTCTTGTAATGAAGTTCAACATTCTAAGTTCGAGTTCAAGTGTAGCTCATTATTTGTGAATAACAAAGAAGCTTCGTCAAAGAGAATATTTATTTATGTTCTTTTCTACCTCATATTTTTATAGTTGCGCGACTGAAGCCTCCACAGCACGAATACCCCAGGTTGACCCCTTGTCGCCATGCAAAGTGCGCTTAGCTGGATATGCATTAACTTGAAACCAGCAGCTTATGGAAATATCGGTCCGGTCAAAAGGTTACTATGAGCAAAGTGCGACTACGTGTATCGTGTCCCATTTCAAAATTCCATCTATGATTCGACAATTGCCGAAATATGTCTGTAGTATAACAAAACTTTGACACGACATTTTTTGAGGCGACGTTTATAAAATACACGATAAAGTTCGAAACATCTCACGTTTCGCACACCTTGTTCCAGCGTCCTTCGGAGTCCTTGAGCGTATACTGCATCCAATCATCGGCATTCCTTCAATCATTCCAACCAATCACGAAGGCAATTTCTTCCTCTCCGACGGCTATGCTCTTTCAGTTGACAAAAACGACGGTCCCCATGTTTGTGGTTTAGGCAGCCTGCAACTTGTGGAGTACAGAACCACGCTCGGCCGGTCAGAGGCTAGGCTAATGAAGTTGAAATCCATGGATCGGTGTTTCAAGTACATTTCAAGCATATAACCTCGAGGATACCCGAAAATGTCTCGCTCAGGGTTCTCCCTCACTCTTGAATGTTCACAAGTCAAGAATTCTCCGTACCTCCAATAATTCTCTACCATACAATTTCCTTTTTTTTTGTGACGAAAAACGAACTGCGAAATCGACCAAGTACTATTAGCAACTCGAGCGCGTCTCTGATTAATGCGTCTACCGTGTCCTCATTTGTGATACCTCCATTTCCGCCTAATGACATCATATAAGTCTTATGATGTTTCCTGCAACGATCGTGGTAGTCGCACAGCAGCGAAGGTGGGTACGGCGAAAGCCTGGTCTACTGAAGGTCGCTCTCCAGCAGCCTGAAGGTTGCCTTCCAGCTCTCCAGTAATCGAAAGCTCTGGCGGTCAAAATTTGGGACGCTGAGAGGACAAAATTCGTTGTAATCGCCTGCCTTATTTTTTTTTCAATACTTTTAGGATTAATTATTAGGATTGTGACATCCGACAGGATGACAGCCGGGTCCCGTGTCATCATTTGTTGCCTCTTCGAAACCACTTTCGTGGCATGGGCGCTATAATACTGTAAATCCACATGTCGAAGGAGCGTTCCAGGTAATCTAATATTATGTACGTTCCTTGAATGAAGGCTCTCACCTCGTACCGATCCGGATAATTGTCCAAGAGGCACGTTCCCTTACCTCCCGTCACCCCTGTTGTCAGATCTCCAGCGCCCTCGACCCGTTTGTGTTTGCGCATCTGTGTGCGTCGCTATAACGGAATTGGCGCTATCAACTGGAAGACAATTACTGTGCGTGGCTTATGCGACTGCTCCCATCCTGTACCGTTCCGGAGGTTCGTCTGAGCGGCGAGCCAACGCCACAAACGCCTGTCTGGCAACATTCCACGCGCGCCGGAGACTCGAGCAGGAATAATAGTCTCCGATTATTCACTTCGTCGGGCAAGACGCACGTGACCTTAAAGATGGAGGGCCGTCTTTAGATATAGTATGCATCAGTCTTGGTTCGGCGAAAATCCAACCGCTATGCAAAACCAAAACAAAAAAGGAAGGCGAAAAAGACGACGGATCAATTTTCGGTGCTGAAATTTGGTAACTCTGCACATTGGACCCTGCAGGAAGCCCCAAATTTATTCGGTTCTTCGGTTAATTTATTTTTAAAAAGCAAAGCAGCAATTGTGGGAACTTCTATATATAAAAGACTGAATTCACGTTAAGATTAAACTCGTTGCGTTCGTAGGAGAACGTCAGGAAGCGTCCGATACGTTTCGTTGAGAAAAGAACACTGGTTTATTTCTGTACAAATACAAAGGACAAAGTCACCGACACTGGCAAGGGAAAGAGAGAACAACAGCAAAGGGGGGAGAGAGAGTCGGGGTGGTGCGATGCGTTCCAGATGTGTCCAAGCCGAAGGCCAGGAGCGCCCCGCCGTTTATGACCCCCCTCACATTCCGGGGCCTGGGAACCGCAGATACCCGAACGAAGGCCTGTTTGTGTTTTGCGACGTTCACTTCGTTTTCGAAACGCGGGGCCACCGAGTCTGGCCGAACAAAACCATAACGTAAAAATATTCTACAAAGATCTTCCCCCGCAATGAGCATACAATTGCTCATTAGTTCAAAGACTCTAACGGATACAGAAGTTGGACCGGTCGTTTAATGACCTTTCCATGGGGGATCCTTATTGTACATGAACGCACGCGTCCATCGCGCCCAGGGAAAGTTTTGACAACACGGCCCGTGCACCAATTCTGCCGTGGCCGTAAATGTTCATATACGATTACAAAGTCTCCTTCATTAAGTCCAGTGGACTTGGTGGGTCGGGAGTAATGCGCAGAACGTAATTCGTTTAAATACTCCCGACGCCACATTCTCCAGAACTGGTCAGCAAGCGCCTGCCTGTGTTTCCAGCGCCTCTGAATGTCGGCGGCGCTGGACTCAGAGACGAGGCGACGTTCGCATGAAGGGAGCGACGTAAAGCGCGAGACACATGCGCGTCAAAACTGTCCGATCCGGCGTGCGAACTGTCGGGAAGATGGCTGCTCCGAATCGCCGCACAGGACGGTTCGCGACACATGGTTTCCGACGCGTCGTTGCGTCGCTCCGTTCAGCTCCGCCCAGTTTCGGGTGTCCCTCTACCAAATGCATGGATGGATACTAATGGCTATAGCTATAACGGGCGGTAGCTCGCGCCACCTAGCCTAGAAAACTAAAATACTTCCCACGCCCTTCTTGGTTTTTCTGGCTTTAAAACAAACATAATATTTTTATTACCTCCTATTAAAGTGTGCGTGTGTGAAGATTTTCCGTGGGGCTATTTTTCCGCTCAAAATCACTTAATTGCGAAGGACCGCAGCGGACCTTAGAGCCATCCCAGCGAAACGAGCACTGCGTAAAAATCACGTGACTACGTACCGCGCACATAACAGCGTCTCTCCCGAAGCTCACATGACATTGGAATGGCTCGTAGCGTCCGCTGTTGTCCATCGTAAGGTGAAGCGGAGTATATTCAGGTTTCGACGGGCTCGATCGGTTCCAGAAGGCAGGCTTGCCTTGGCGCTCGAAATCAGCAGCTCATTTTGTGCGCGCGGGAAACTCGATGGCGTCCGTTTCCTTCACAACCACGACTCGCCTCGCGTGACGCACCGCGCACCGCCACATCCGCTTCCCCGAACCACGTAGCGCCTCCTCGCCCGATCGGTCCGAAAGTCACTTGACAACATGACCTTCGCCATCCGTGCTCATTGGCTGCGGCCACTGCGGCCTTCCGAAAATCGGACCGTGCGTGCGGCGATATCTGGCAAGTTGGACGCATGCGGGCGCCGGACGGAGCCCCCGTCCGACGCTCCGGTGCGACGAAAACCCTCGCCCTCGGACGTCGTTCCGGCGGTTCGCACGTCGGATCGCATCGCTTTTTCGCGCATGTGTCTCGCGCTTAAGTCGTCTCCCTACAAGAAAATGTGCTGGTGTGAGCGGGTCTGGTTCGGATGTCTCAGCGTAGACGAACGTTAGAGGCCTGGAATTTAGTACAGCCTCGACTTCCGTCAACACTGTGCTCAGTTCTTCGAATTTCAGAAACCCATGACCCAAGACCTTTTTTAGAACAGTTTTGGCGCATCGCACCATCCGTTCCCAAAACCCACCCCACCAGGCAGCCCTCTCAACAATAAATTTCCACTGCACACGGAGGGACGCGAACACAGCAGAAACCTCCTCTCTCCGTATGCAGTCCCAAAGTTCTCCGAGTTCATTGTCGGCCCTGCGAATTGTCTGAGCATTGTCAGTCAGCACAACACGACACACTCCTCTTCGAGAGATGAAGCGTCTGAAGGCCAAGATGAAACTCTCCGTTGTCAGGTCACTGACAAGTTCCAGATGCACAGCTCTCGTGACGGCGCACGTTATCACAAGGATGTAGCACTTTTTCACAACACCACACTCCTTAGCGAAGAGAGGACCTGCAAAGTCCATGCCAACGACCTCGAAGGGATCGGCCGGGTTCACCCGCAGGCCCGGCAGGGGTGCTGTGGGTTCACAAGCCGGCTTGCAGTGAAGCCGATTGCAAGTCACACACCGTTTCAGCATTCGCTTCGTCACTTGTCGAGCCCTTATGACCCAATACCTCTCCCTGATCTCCGTTACGGTGTCACAAAGACCCGCATGAAGTAGACGTTCGTGGGTCGCGCGAATAAGCAGCTCAGTAAAGAGGTGCTTGGGAGGCAGGATGATTGGGTGCTTTTCCTCCAGCTGACGTTGCGTCTTCTGCAACCTTCCCCCGACGCGAAGGATGCCATTAGAGTCAAGATAGGCCCCCAACGAACTTAACGGAGACCCCTTGCTGCACTCCCCCTTGTCTTGTATTGCGGCCAGTTCCTCCCCGAACTCTTCACCTTGCGTTTGTCGCACCAGGAATTCTTCCGCGTCGCTCATTTCCTGTGCTGTCAATGATCCTTGCTTTCTCTGAACTCGCCGGCAATTCCGTACAAAACGCAGGATCCACGCCGTGACCCGCAGGAGACGATTCAGGCTGCTGTAGCGTTGCAATGGAATGAGAGGCTCCATAATAACAAGAGTGACACATGGCCTCGATTCCCGTTGCTCCTGCCGATGAATGTCGGTGTCGTCCAGTCGTTCTCTCGGAGTCCGTTGGGGCCATTCCGTTTGGGAACCCCGCAGCCAGTCCGGTCCTCTCCACCAGAGTCCGCTAGTAACCAACGTAGGAGCTGTCAGTCCCCTGGTCAACAGGTCTGCAGGATTCTCGTTACCTGGACAGTGCCCCCATTGCACAGGATTCGTCAGTTGCTGAATTACCGTTACGCGGTTCGCGACAAAGGGCTTCCACTTCAAGGCAGACCCCTTGATCCAGTGCATGGCGATGGTCGAATCAGTCCAAAGGTAGACAGCCTGCAGCGGTGTCCTCAGCGTGCCGATGAGATAGTGGTGCAACCTTGGCGCCAATAAGGCTCCCATGAGTTCAAGCCTTGGTAGAGTCAGCCTTTTAAGTGGAGCGACTCTTGATTTGGACATGAGAAGCGTAATCGTTACGTCGGTTTCACTCTCTGTCCTGAGATAGGCCACTGCACCGTAGGCCCTGGGACTAGCGTCGGAAAACAGATGAAGTTGGACAGTCGTGACGTCGCTGTCCCCCTTCAGGCTGGTGTATCTTCGTGGAATCGACATCTCCCGAAGCGCAGAAAGTTGGGAACACCAGTCCGACCATTCCCCAGCGATGTTGTCAGGAAGATGTTCGTCCCATCCCAGTGCCAGCTCCCAAAGTGTCTGAAACAATAGCTTCACTGTGACGACGACGGGGGCGATCACCCCGAGCGGATAATATATTCGGGCAGATGTCTGGAGAAGACCGCGCTTGGTGAGCTTGGTGTTGTCCACGAACCCGAGTACATTTTCCAGGTTGACAGTTAGCCGATCATCCACTCTGTTCCAGAGCAGGCCAAGGATCTTCACGACTTCTGCGTTTTGGCCTGTGGTTTCTGACTTGTCGTTCGCTTCGTTTGAGTTGAAGACACGCTGCAGGTCGTTGTCGTTTGTGTTCCACTTGCATAGTTTCATGCCCGCTCCTGTCATGATGACGCTGGCTTCTTCGTAAATTACACGAGCCTGAACATTTGTCTCCGCGCCCGTAAGCAAATCGTCAACATACAGACACGTGTCGATTATCCCCGCAGTCTCGGGGTACGTTCCCCTTCAACTGTCTAAATGATGTCGAATCGTGGCTGAAAGCAGAAAGGGGCTGCATGACGCCCCAAAGGGCACTCGCGTTCTTCTCCATGCTTCAGGCGGGTTTGCCAATTCGTCACCCCTGGGCATATCTTTGAACCAGAAAAAGCGAAGAGCGTCTCTGTCCTCCGGGGCGAGGGAGACCTGCAGAAACGCCTTTTCTATGTCGGCGCTAAGAGCGATGGGGTGCTCACGGAAGTTCAAAAGCACTTGCAGCAGCTCTGGGTTCAAGTTGGGCCCAGCATGAAGATGATCATTAAGCGAGGCAGAGTTTGGAGCATGTGACGAGGCGTCAAACACGATGCGAATTTTTGTGCTTTCGCGGTCCTCCTTGATCACGGCCCGGTGAGGCATATAATACGTCATGCCACTGGGCCCGTCTTCATCCTCAGGGGGAACTCTTTCAGCAAAGCCGTTGCTCATATATTCCGTTATCGACTTGTCATACTGCGTTAGCAGACAGTTGTCTCGGCGAAGTTTCTTCAGCAAGGCTGTCAAGCGCATAGAAGCAACCTCCTTGTTGTTCGTCAATTGACGCTCTGAGGTCTTCCAAGGGAGGCGGGTCTCGTATCTGCCGTCAGTCATTATCAGGGACGAGTTGAAAGAAGTCACCAGTTCTTTCGGTGGCTCATTACCTTCGCTACTCTGGAAGGTGTCCTTAATGCCAAGGCTTTCAAGATCCCAGAATGCACGCAGTTCAGTTGCGATGCACCCTGGGGTCTCGTCAACGTTGACTCTGAAGACGGCTGTCGTTACGCATACGTTGGCAGCGTTGTTCACCTTCAGGGGGCCCTGCAGAGACCACCCGAAGATAGTCTCCACGGCGGTCAGTGAAAGGCTGACGCGATGCACGTTCCCGGTGGTGACCCTCCAATAGTAATCCGCTCCTATTAGAATGCTCACTCCACGCTCCCTTTGACAGTCCCCCACAGGTAGATCAGCGAGTGTGATCCCTTGCCCTTGTAGGCTGTTGATCAGATCACCATCAGTGATGCCGAAAATCTCTCCGCAGATATCCGGAACCTCAAAGGCCTCGATGACGATTTCGGCGTCTCCGTGGTGGCTTCGAAGTATAAGCTCCACCCGGCGGCATCTTCTTTTCGTACCACGCGCCGACTCACCGAAAGCGAATATCGTAAACTCCTCCTCTCCAACTGGTCTACATCGTAGTTTTTCGGAGGTGTCTCGACGGATGAAGGTTCGCTGACTGCCTCCATCGATTAGTGCTCGCAGGGAAGTCTCGGTCTGACCCCTCGCTCGCATCCTGGCCGTTTGAAGGAGCACCTGATTGTGGCTGGTTGTACAGGCGCTCGAGATACCAATAAACTGAGGTGGGTTTGAGTCAGAGCTCGTCGACTGCCCTGCTCCTGCCCACTCGGGGTCGCACATCACGGTTAGATGTCTCCTAGAACACCTTGCCCACGATAGTTTCTTGGCGGACCTGCAATCTCGGAAGCGATGGAACTGCTTTGTGCACCGAAAGCACCTGTTCTCCGCCTTCAGTTTTTCCTTCTTTTCTTGGATCGTAAGGGGTGACGTACACTTCTCCAAGATGTGCTCGTTAGAGCCGCAGAAGACGCAGCGCCTCATTTCTGACTTCGCGGCACTGGTCAATGCTGCCGCAGAGCCTCCCCTTTCGGAGCGAAACTCTCGGTGGCGCGATTCGGGTGCCGTTCGTTGGTTCGCGTGGGGAGTGAGCTGTCGGCATTTTTCTCTGGTTTCCACCTCGATTTCAATAAACTCAAGCAACCTCGCGAGGTCGTCTCTACCTTCGTTCTGTGGTCGCTTTTCGACAATCAAACTCCGATTGTATCTGATAATGAGCTCAGGAGGAAGAGATCTCTGGAGAACAGTGTGCAACAGTACCCCATACGAATCTGAGTCAACTCCCAAGCTTTTGAGGCTCCGCATGCGTGTCTGCACATCGTCATAGAGCCTGCGGAGCCCATTCGCTGCGTCTGACATAGTGTTTGGTTTAACGTTCAACAGGTGCGTGAGGTGATCGTTGACGATGACGGAGGGTTGGCCGAACCTCTTCCTCAGTAGTTCTACGGCCGTGCCATAGTTGTCCCCGGTTACCGGAATACCTTTGATGACAGACTCCGCTCGGCCGACCAAATACACTTTGAGGTATTTGAACTTGTCTACGGGAGACAATGCTGGGTTCTGGTCGATTGAGGATTGAAACTGATCCCAGAGTGTCTGCCACTCCGCCAGCTCTCCGTTGAACTTCGGTAACTCCAATTTGGGTAGCTTTACATTTGGGACAGTTGCGCCGTTACCCCTTTGTACCTCCATACGCGACACGTTGCTAGAGGTAGAGGAGGTTGTCTCGTTGTTCGTGACTTCTTGTAGCTGCCTCAAGGCTCTAGTTCTGGCTATGCTGATAGCATCTTCGTAACCGAGGCTAGCTTCCGTTTCCTCCTCGATATCGTTCACGTCAGTCAGGTCGGCTACTTGTTGGTCAAGCTCACGAAGCGATTTTTCTTTCAAAGCAAGGAGAGAAAGTTTTTCGTCAAGCTCACCTTGCTGCGATGGAGCTCCTTTCATTACTGTGGTCATCTCGTTGATAATCCTGGTGACCGCAGCTCGGACGACCGCTTGTTTTTTCTTCAGTTTCTCCATTGCAGCCGCTCGTTTACGTTGTTCGTTGGCTTCAGTTCGTGAGGCTGTCGCTGCTTCCGTTGAGTGTCTGTTTGCCAGAGTCAGTTCCCTGATGTTCTCCCGGGTTTCGGCACCAAAATTGTGGGAACTTCTATATATAAAAGACTGAATTCACGTTAAGATTAAACTCGTTGCGTTCGTAGGAGAACGTCAGGAAGCGTCCGATACGTTTCGTTGAGAAAAGAACACTGGTTTATTTCTGTACAAATACAAAGGACAAAGTCACCGACACTGGCAAGGGAAAGAGAGAACAACAGCAAAGGGGGGAGAGAGAGGCGGGGTGGTGCGATGCGTTCCAGATGTGTCCAAGCCGAAGGCCAGGAGCGCCCCTCCGTTTATGACCCCCCTCACATTCCGGGGCCTGGGAACCGCAGATACCCGAACGAAGGCCTGTTTGTGTTTCGCGACGTTCACTTCGTTTTCGAAACGCGGGGCCACCGAGTCTGGCCGAACAAAACAATAACGTAAAAATATTCTACAGCAATAATGGAAAAAGCTAGTTCCCCGGTTAAAACGTGGAGCTTTAAAGTGCCAAGGTGCGGATCTCGCACTCGCGAGTGATGGAGCACCGAATTATCGATCGCAGACTTTGATGACTGTTATGTTTTGTTGTTGCTTTTATTATTATTATTATTATTATTTCTGGTATTTATCTATCGGTAATCAAACAATCCAAGTGCATTCTGAGCATCTCTGCATTCATCGAGAAACAGACAAAGAAGTGTAAAGAGTAGAATAACTACCAAACAAACATTCCCAGAAGTACTGCATGAATGCCGCACGCGGAGTGCTTGGAAGACCATCAATCAATGCTCCTTTAGACAGTTTGGAAAATGGCTCGGCCGAGCTATATATTGCGCTCCCATTGACTATGCAGTCACAGCAAAAGAGAAATGTCGCCTCCTTTGCCACTAAGGCTGCATTTATTGGCGCATGCGCACTTAACATACTTCTTGTGGTCTTCCAAGTGCATCGCGTGGCAGTATAGATATACAAGCGGCTGACATTGCGACTGAGGTGACGGCAAACGTCATTCAATTTACTGCAAATCGTACTCGGGTCACGATTTGCGTAGAAAATATGGACACGACTTCGCTGCGGTGGAGCTCTTTCAAAGTATTAAGCGCAAATTATAAGCATTTGGCACGCCTGTGTAAGTGTAAGTTTGAGCGTAACAAAATACAAAAGAACTCCGCGCTTTGAACGGCTCTGTCGAGCACGTGTGGTTGTGCGGATCATGAATATTTCAAGGCAGTATGCTCGCGCATATAAAGGTTCGGCTTCGCTCACACTTGTGGTGAGATAGCATTGTGCATATGCACGGGCAGTGTCGCAGTGCCCGCAGATTTCACGTTACGACAAACTTGTCTATCAACAGTGAGTTGGTTATTGGAATCTACTTTGAGGAGACCCAAAGCCTTGTTGACGAGTTACATTCGGATTATTCAATATCAGAGACAAATATTGATTGAACCCTGCTATCAATCAGAGCGGCGCGTGAAGGTTTGGAGAGTTCAAGCGATGCGAAATTTTGCGAGCGGGCTGCAATATGCTTGAGAGGGTTATGTATACAATGGTAATTGAAATGGACGACCGCCGACGTCATTTTAGCCGCTTTTGATTTTAGATGGCCGCATACATTAGTCGCTAATGAACACACTGGTCTCTAAGGTTTTTCCTTTTTTCAGTTTTGCTTTGAGTGTTCCGAACTCTCTAAGGTCTTTCTGGCTGTTATTGTGTTAATTATATGCTCTCGCGTGCATTTGCAGCTCGAGCAAGAGTAGAGCCTCACTATAGTAAATTCTGATGTTGTTTTTTTCTTTATATGAAACATCTTTACTACACCAGCATTTTGACTATATCGGTACTTCACACCTTTGCGCACGTATATGACGAGCGTATTTCAAATGCGCTTAGCTACCTTAATGTCTTCTTATCAGTCTTTATTATGGAAGCTCTTTGTTGATATAATGCTAGTCTTGCTCTATTCTCTGAGTACTGCCATTACTGTTGGCGCGGCTGATCTCTGGCTGGAGAGTATGATAGTAAACTATAAATGCGCACACTAACGTAGCATAACACGTATGAATAAGCATCTTGTTCATCTATAAGAAGAAAAACAGACATGCTTGTTGAATCGTTACCCGTCGAAGCATTATTTCTTTCGTCGAAGACTTAGAAAAAAAAGTGAACTAAATACAAGACATATATGATATATTAATATATCTGCTTTCACTGATAGCGAGGACTTCAAACTAGCTGAATAGTTTCAATAGGAAACGAATATTTTAGGCGTGGTTTCCAATCCCGTGCGTGTTGATGCGCATTGAATCTGCTCACTGTTCGTCAGAGCCGAGCGCCCTTTTATACATCCTTCAACACTCAACGAGCACTGCTTGGCAGTCCATAGTCTTAGGCGTCCCGGAGTGAACACAAAATCTCGGTGCACTAAAAACACTAATTATGAGTCTTCTTTGAAGCAGTCTAATCAGTGATAAGAGTGATAGGTATCGTGATCCGGTGGCAGTGAAGTTTCAGCAGTAAAACGGAGGGCCTCATTCCTGAAAAGCCATGACCATTGGGAACGCGCCACTCGCCCATCGCGTTAGCTAAGCTGATTAAAGGAAGAGCAGTGATTATAGTCCAATCGCATCACGGGGCGGTAGACAAGCAAGGTGCCTGACAGTGTACCCAAACGCGATTAATCTAATGCGGTCGAATGGATTGACTTCCGGGACTTCTCTGGCAGCACCTAAGTTGGGCACTGTCCGCCCTTTCCTGCGCTTTCTCGTGATCTGCTCTTTCATCTATTATTCGACCACCCTTCCTGCGCGGTCTTTCGGCTAATTCCCCGTTTCTTATAGGGACGTAAATCTTCCTTAACTGCTCTTTCTTTGCCTTTGGATCGGGCCTTCCGGAAAAGCTGACGCCAGAAACGTCCGCTCCTCAAATGATGTTGGCCGAATAAACTCTACTCGTAACATTCGTACGTATTCACCGAACTACTTTACTGACTTCCGAACGTCAAAGGAAAACGTTACATTGGTATAAAACGAGAGCGTCCGCTTTAATCAATCAAAGCCTAAGAAACAGAGGGCTTATTATGCCCACGCTGCTTGCTTCGTCATTCTTCCTTCGGCAATCTTATGGGCGGCTCTCTTACTAGGCTACGGAGCGAGAGTGAGATGATCGGGACTCAACGCACCCTGGGTTTCTGAAGATGCCAGAGAATGCAGCAGCGTCCGTTGCTCCCAGGTTTCGAATTCACGATTCTTGGCGGTGCTGTTCGTGTTGTTCTAGCCAGTTTGTCACCACGATGTTTGTGCTTAAAATATGTTTATCATCTCGCGCCTCGTCCAATATTTTCTTCTGTTGCTGACGAAAAGGAGAGGCTTAGTCAAGCCACATTTTTCCGCCTTGTTTTTTTCTATTTTACCCTCATTATTAGAGGGAAAGGAGTAAAGCTGAAATTTGAAAGTTCAAATTCGTTCTCCTGCTCAATTAACTTTTTTTTTTTTTTTTCACGGTGGCGATTTCATATTTGTTATCATCTGGTGTGAGAAAAAAAATTCTAAAAGGTTTGCGCAAGGTTGATGTAAATGATGTTTGCGTATGAGCAAAGTGAACTTTTATGCTCCTTAATATTCTAGCTAGCACACATTTTATTTCTCTCAATGTTTGTCCGCAATACGTATAATAATTCGCCGCCTTCTCTAACTGTGGGATCTTATAACAGCCTCGACGCACTTCACGTTGACATGTGCGCGACAATTTTTCGTGCCGCTTTTTAGTTAGATATTGCAATGAGCTCGTAATCTAGGCCAATTTCCGACAAAAGTAACATTTATGTTCACGTATGTTTTTAATATTGTTAATGTCTTTATTGTTTTGTTTTTCTTTCTTGTTCAGGTCTTCCTAATTGAAAACTGATATGCGATAGGTTTTGGGCGCCAGAAAAAAAGTTATTTATATTTAAAGGATACTCACGGTTATACATAACTAATCATGCACGTTGAACGCCGCGCCAGTACAACGTAGGTCTGCGGGGGGGGGGAGGGGGGGATCTCATCCCTCTTTCCTTAATATGCCGTGATCGGCACGCTAGTAAAAAGAGTCGGCAAATCATTTCACCTTTCCACCTTTCGTGGGAACACCTTGAAAAGAAACACGATCTAAAAGCGGATCCGTGTTCGCGATTTCACATGCGAAGAGGGCTACTTCGCTTCTTCCGTCGTGAGGGTCCATAATTCACCGAAGAGACGAAAAAGAAAACAGAACAAGAAACGGCGAAAGGAACTCCGCGACCAAAAAACGTTTTAAAGACGGAGGAGCCTAATACAAGGCGAGGTCAGTTCCATTTCCGTTTCCTCCTCTGAGGTCAGGAGGAGCGTTTCACCTTGCGGTGGACTGCAAAGTGCGCCACGAGCCAACTGGGACAATTAAGTACCGTACGAATGTCACGTGACCATACAGGGAGAGTTAGGGTCACAGCTGCGGCGCGTAGTGACGTCACACGTGAGATGTGCTGGATTGGCTGGTGTGGCTCGTAGCCTCCAGCCGCGGGTCATTGCACTGTGACACGGAGTATACCTCTCTTTAGCCATAGGGTGATGGTGCGTCGGAAGCTCCGCGCTCGCGGGACGAGACGTACGTCGGTCTTCTTCGCCTCGTGATCCCGTTCCTTTCTATTCCCACGTAGCTTCCACTGCACTGTCAGCCCAGGGTGAACGGAGCCGCACGAGGTCAACGAGCACACGAGAGGGCAGGTCTGCGTACTTCCGTGCCCATCTTAGTCTGCCCAGGTTCCAGAGTGTGGCCAAGTGCTCGATCGGGATCACGTGTTTTATGAGTCGCGTTTGCAAAAATAGCTGCGAGGTCGTGACGGAAGCTATGATCGTCTGCACATGTCTCTTCTTCTCCGCCCGCTTTCCCCTTTGCCACGCGACGACGCAACGCATGCG